AAAATCATAATTCATTATTTATGACTTACAAGAGGAATTTTAAAAAATAATAATGAAGGTGGCACAGCAGCTTTCACTTATAGTTTACTATTTTATTTTTTTATTTATTTATGTTTTTTTTTGGGGGGGGGTGGTTTACTATTTTAGAGACTCCATATACACCATGATCTGGTTCACTCGTCACAAGAATATTATGAGGCAGGCGCAGTACTTCCCTTTTACCTACAGGGAAACTCAGACTTAGGTTAAGTCACTCAGTTAGATTGCTAATGAGCGGCACAAAAAGAATTGAAATCCAGGTCTCCTTGCTTCCCAATCCCATGCTCTTAACCACCGTGCCCCCTGTCTCCCACCACATGTTTACTGATTGAGTGAGTGAGGGAATGAAGGGTGTCAACCAGCACTGCGTTATCATAGTCATGAGCCCTAGGCATCTTTTTCTCTGTGGGCCCCTTCCTCCATTAAAAAATATTAAAAATTATATTTTAGGACCATATTATTATGAAGACTAATATAGTCGGGGCTGGCTACATGATTATATATTCATTGCTATCATATTCATTCTTACCCTAATTCTAAAAGAAATTAAAGCTGGGGCAGACCGGGTGGCTCAGCGGTTTAGCGCCACCTTCAGCCCAGGGCCTGATCCTGGAGACCCGGGATAGAGTCCCACGTCGGGTTCCCTGCATGGAGCCTGCTTCTCTCTCTGCCTGTGTCTCTGCCTCTCTCTCTGTGTCTCTCGTGAATAAATAAAATCTTAGAAAAAAAAAAAAGAAATTAAAACTGAACCATTTCCACGGGCCCCTAAAAGGGTAGTGTGCCTACTGTGCCCACTGAATAATTAGACCTTGCTCTCAACTTGGGCACAGCAGTCAAACAACTGGAAGGAAGAAACTTTGACGTCACATTCTAAAAAACCAAATACGTCATCTCCATTGATTTTGCTTTTTTCGTCTTCTAAATAGCAAAGGGCATGGGGCAGTAGGCAACAATCACACCCCATGGGGGTTGCTTGGTGGGGGCCAGAACATACTCTGTATGTGGCGGTCGGTCTAGAGAGCTGAGAGAAAGGAATGAACCCCGCATCCCAAGAGAACGTGGGGGTGCCTCCGTGCTCAGCTGTGGTCAGCTCTCCTGGGAAGGTCAGAGTTCACGTGCAGAGAATCGGGACCCTGCGCCCATGCCCCACCTTGCCTGGAGCACAGCTGCCTCACTCCTGTGAAGGTGAGGTGCCTGTGGGCAGTGGATCAGTGCTCAGCAGTTACGTCCCGGGGGACGGCCTGGAGGAGTGACCAAGCAAAGATCGGGGACCTCAGCTTCTCCACTTGATAACTCTGTAGTCTTTTTTTTTTTTTTTTAAAGGTTTTTTATTTATTTATTTACGATAGTCACAGAGAGAGAGAGAGAGGCAGAGACACAGGCAGAGGGAGAAGCAGGCTCCATGCACCGGGAGCCCGATGTGGGATTCGATCCCGGGTCTCCAGGATCGCGCCCTGGGCCAAAGGCAGGCGCCAAACCGCTGCGACACCCAGGGATCCCCGATAACTCTGTAGTCTTAACTGAACTCACTTTGCAGCGACTGAGTTCTATCCCCTGGAAAATGAGGGCTGGTGGCAAAGACAGTGCTCATTAAATAATCCACGTACTTCCCTGGATTTGAGAGCCAGCGGCTGGCCCATGGGCCCAGGGCAAGGCAGCTAAAGGCTGCTGTATTGCTATCCGTCTCTTCCCCTCACTCCGCAACCTCGGAAGCCAGTCGTTCAAGACCACGTAGCTGGAAGGGGGCAAGTGGTCCACGTAGCTGGAAGGGGGCAAGTGGTCCACGTAGCTGGAAGGGGGCAAGTGGTCCACGTAGCTGGAAGGGGGCAAGTGGTCCGCATCCTTGAGTTGCTGCTTGGCTCTGCAGGAGGGCTGTGGGACCCGCAGTGAGCTTTGAGAGGGAGACAAGTGGCCCCTTTGGGGGTCATTTGTGGCTGAGCACATCTTAGCTTATCCTGACTGGTAGAGATAATACGGCCAAACTGGCAGGGTCATAGAGATGAAATGAGAAGAATGAATATAAAGCATCAGTGTCTGGAGGGAGGGGCTCACTTGGCAGACGCTGGTTTCTGGCTGTACTTTCAAAAATTGCATTTTTGCCCCCAGAGAATTAAATCACTCCACAGGAACTATTGCTGCTCTCGTTCTGATAACATCTCAGTGTTGGGACTTGGCCACGAACTGCAAAAAGGGTGAAGGATGTACACAGCCCCATTACCGGAGTCTTCAGACTTCATAAATGCTCCTATTGCCCAGAGAAAGCAGTACAGATATGTTGCAGGACCCAGATTTAACTCATTTTCCCTAGAGTGCAGGAAACAGCAGATGGGAAGGAGGTGAGGTAAGGAGGGGGAAGGTGTGGACGGGGGAGGAGGGAGGAGAGGAGGTGGGAAGGTAGAGAGATAGTATTCTGAGCATATTATTTTAAAGTTCTGTTTGGGTGTCTTGTGGCCAGAAAGCTCGGAGATGCTGACTCAGCAGCATTTGGGTGAGAGCCGGCTGAAGGCTGAAGAAGCAGGATGCTCTCCAACACCGTCACACCCACAGTCTCAGAATCATGTGACCCGAGAGTCCCAGCCAGGGCTTGGACTGATACTGTGTAGTAGGGAGGAGAATTTGCAGCCCCGAAGCGGGGAGAGGGCTCCCCTGGAGGTCCCACTGCCCCCAAGTGGAAGGTCCCAACACTGGCCCTGCCTCCCAGAGTTGTCTCCTCACCCATGGCCACCCCGATTGGCCAGGCTCCTGTTCCCTCATTTCTTCTTGGTATCAGCGGCCTGAATGGGGTCCCGCAAACATGACACCAGGCTGAGGTTTGCCAAGCCTGTCCGACATCCACCCTCCAGGATTCTCTGGGTGCACACTGGATGGATGGAGCTATTAAAAGCCAGCCCTACCTCCGCACTCGGACAGAAAAGCTATAACCACCCCAGGCATTTCCGAGGGACCTTTCAAAGAACATCATTAATTCTGAATAAAGCTCTCCCCTACCAACACTTTCTAACTATAGTCCTGACATTCCTGTTTTATGCTACAAAATCCCTCTGCCATTTAATGAAGAGGAAAAAAGCCTGCTTTCTTAAAACGCATATGTTTGGGTAGCCTACGTATCTGAGTTAACTTTCCAAAATTAAAACTAACAACAGAAAACTTACTGTCTCCTTCTCCCCGCCCCCTCCCGCTGGCTGTCCTTCCTCCTTGGACGGGGCACACTGGTCCCCTCTCCCCCTCATCCTTGGTTTCACTTCCCGAAGTTTCCGTTATCCCTGACCAACTACAGTCCCGGAAGCAGATGGCCCTGATCATCCAGATCAGCAGTAGCCTCACACCACACCAGGGTGCCTGTGTCATCGCCTCACTTCATGTCCCCACGTGGGCCTCTTATCACCTCACTGCATCACCGGAGGAGGGGTGAGTACAGTAAACTATGTTGAGATAGAGCCCACATTCACATAATTCTTATTGGAGTATATTGTTAGAATTGTTCCATTTTATTATTAGGTACATTGTTAATCTCTGTGCCTGATTTTTAAATTTAACTCTACCTTAGGTACGTTTGTATAGGTAAAACAATATAGATGGCTCCGCGCCGCCTGCAGTTTCAGGCATCCCCTGGGAGTCTTGGAAGTAGCCCTACAGACAAAGTGCAACCACTCTATTGTATTTGGGAAGTGGCAATAAGTCCTGTTATTACTCTCCAGGACCTGTGGCCTGACCACCCCCTCCCCCAAAGGGGAAAGTTTGGGGCTTCCAGGGTGGGAGGGAGCTGACACGTGTTAGGGCCTGGCCAAAAGGCAGAAAGCTCCAGTTCTAAATACAGTCAGAGAAGTTCTGCCAAATGTGCCTTCCTCCCTCTCATCCATTTCCAGGATTCTGTTCCCGCGGATTGCCCGGGGACACCCTGTTGATCTCTCCTCCAGCCACCCCGGGGTGCCAGGCACTGCGCTGGTGCCTCACACTCTTCATCTCCTGTGATCCTTCCTCCCCAAGAGCCCTATGAGCCAGGAATGAACTGGTTTAAAGATGTGGAAAAGAGATGAAGCAGTTGCCCCCAATGTCCCGAGCTGGGATTTGAACCCACAGCTCTACCTGGTTCCAAAGTCGCTAGAGGAAAGCCCTGAAGTTGGGGTAGGGCGAGCAAAGTGACTCCTGAGTTCTACTTCACGCCGCTTCCCTCTTCGGCAGGCGGCTGGCCGACCCAGGCCGAGAGCCGGTTTCTGGACTGCAGAGGATGGAGCAGGTGCGGCGGACGCGGGAGGGACAGCCGCGTGCTCCTCCGCGCGCCCCAGGCCCTCTGCCGTGGCACTAGCCGCAGGCCTCGCAGGGATACGATCACTCCCGCGGGGAGCGACGGGGGCGCTGCTCCTCAGCCCCCACCGCTGCGCAGACGCGCTGCCCGCAGCCCCCTGCAGCCCCCGGCAGCCCCTGCAGCCGCCGGACCCCCACGGGGCGCCTGGAGAACCTCCTCTCCGCGCGCCGGTGCGCGGGCGGCCAGCCCCACGGGGCGCGCCCGGGGCAGTGACGCGCCCCCTCGGTGCGCGCTCCAGCAGAGCGGATGACAACTCCCCGAGCGCTCCCGGGCGCGCCCCAAGCGCGCAGGCTTCCGCCGCCAACTCTCCGCGCGGCCCGGCTGCCTCCTCCCCCGGCAGCGCCCCCTACCCCGCCACCCACAACTCCCCCGGCACCCACTCTTCCCCCGGCACCCCTCCTCCCCCGGCACCCCCCCTCCCCCGACATCCCCTCCTCCCCCGGCACCCCCCCCACCCTCCCCCGACACCCCCTCCTCCCCCGGCACCCTTTCCTCCCCCGGCATCCCCTCCTCCCCCGGCACCCCCCCTCCCCCGGCACCCCCTCCTCCCCCGGCACCCTTTCCTCCCCCGGCACCCCCTCCTCCCCCGGCACCCCCCCTCCCCCGGCAGCCCCCCCCCCAGTCCCCTTCCCTCGTTGGGCCGCCCGCCCCTCACCTGCACGGCGGCGGGCAGCGGCAGCACGGCCCTGCGGCGGCGGCCGAAGCGGAACTTGGCCGCCTTGTAGATCTTCCAGTAGACGAAGAGCACCACGCCGAGCGGCAGGTAGAAGGCGCCGCAGGTGGAGAAGACGGCGTAGGAGGGCTCCTGGCTCACCTGGCAGCGCAGGCGCCGCGCGTCGTACGCCTCGCCCCAGCCGAAGAGCAGCGGCGCCAGCGCGATGAGCGCCGAGAGCGCCCAGGTGAGCGCGATCATGAGCGCCGAGGCGCGGCGGCGGGCGCGCGGCGTGTACTGCAGGTGGCGCGTGATGGTCCAGTAGCGGTCCAGGGCGATGGCCGCCACGTTCCAGATGCTGGCGGTGCAGCACAGCACGTCGAAGGAGATCCACACCTGGCACAGGCTCCGGCCCAGCCGCCAGCGTCGCCCGGCCGACAGCTCGCTCACCAGGCTCAGCGGCATCACCAGCGCCGCCACGAGCGCGTCCGACACGGCCGTCGAGGCCACCAGGGTATGCGGCACGCGGTGGAAGGCGCGGACGCGCAGGATGGTGACCAGAACCAGCAGGTTCCACAGGAAGGTGGCCGCGATCAGCAGCACCAGCAGCGTCACCACCAGCACCGTGAACACGGACAAAGGCGGCTCGCGGCCCGCCAGGGCGACCCCGCCGGGGCCGGGGCCGGGGCCGGGGCCGGGGCCGGGGCTCGGGCCGCTGCTGCAGGCCTCGGGTCCCGGGGCGAGCGCGACGCCGGCGGCGGCCACCGAGACGTTAGCGGCTTCCATGGCGCGCGGGACGCGGCTCCCCGCAGGGGACACACAGGCTCCTGCGCCCTGGCGGGCGCGGGCGTGCGAGGGGTCGCCGCGGGCCCTGGAGGGCAGACAGCGGTCCGGGCCGCAGTCCCCCTTTGGCTCCTCTGCCGGGAGCGCCCGTGGAGGGAGAAAAGAGAGTGGGACCCTCGGGAGTGCGCCGGGCTCGGCGCGCCGACCCCTCCCACCTCTCCGCGCCGTCCCCGGGGCAACCGGCTGCCACCCGGCTGGCGATCCCCGAGCGTCCGCGCGCGGGGGCGGGCTGCGGAGTGGCCCCCACCCACGGCGGGCTGCTCCGGGGCGGGGGGCGCGGGCTGCACCGGGGGAGGGGGCGGGAGGATGCACCGGGGATGGGGGTGGGAGGAGCTGCACCGGGAGGGGGGACACGGGCTGCACTGGGGCGGGCTGCCCCGGGGAGGCCGGGCTGCGGAGTCGCCCCCACCCATGGCAGGCTGCACGGGGAGGGGGGGACGGGCTGCACCGGGGCGGGCGCGCGGGGGCGGCCCGAGGCCCCGCCACTGCGCCGTCCTGGCCTTCGGGCCGCTCCGCCGATCCTCCCGCCGGCCGCGCAGCCCCAGGGGCGGGGAAGGCTCCCAGTCCCGCCGCGGCCCCCCCTCCGTCGACCCCGCGGACCCGCCCGGGGGCACAGCGAGAAACGGAGGCGCGCACCCCCTCCCAGCGCATCCTGCTGCTTCCCCGGAGACGCTCCGGCCTGGCAGGGGCTTCGCGGGGCCCGCAGAAGTTGACTCAGGCTCGGGGCGGCCGCTCTTCTAGGCAGCTCGGCGGGGGCGCGGGAAGAGCGAGCGCGTGGGCCGGGCGCCCCCTCCGACCTCCGACCGCGCCAGCGTGGCCCTGCGCGTCCCCCCGCCCCCGCCCCTGGCGGTCGCGGACGGACCGGAACGCCAGCAGCTTCCCTGCCGGCTCTTCACAGCCAAGGGACAGCTGGACTGGTTTACTGTCGCCCCTCGGGCAGGGGTAGAAACCAATTAAATTCAACCCAACACTGCGTTACTTCTGTTCCTGGGCAGGATAGACAGGTGAACGCAGAGCCACAGCTGCCCCTCTGGGGGTGACCACAGCGGACCCCAGGTCACCCACCGGCTTCGCACTGACACCCCAGGAGCAGAGTGGGCACCGAGCCGGAGTGAGGGGCAGCTCCCAGAGGGACGCTTTCTGGAAAGGCCGCGGAGGCTCTGGCAGGTGGAAGGGTTTTCCTCCCCTGAGCGGTCCCACCCCCGGCCCACGGGGCAGTCTTTGGGCATCTGGACCAAGCAGGGAGGACACCCCAAGAATGCTCCTCTCGTGTGCTCGCCCTTCTTCACCCCTTTGGTAAGTAGGTACTTTCTGCTTCCTGCATACTGTGTAGGGCAGGCTCGGGAGCACACTCGCAGGGCAGAGAGAGCAACATTCGAGAAAGTCAAAAATACAGGCAGAAGTGTCAGGTGGCTGATAAAATCTCAGAAGTGGGCTGTTCTGGGATCACAGAGATGGGGATGCTGTGGTCAGAGAAGGCTCCCCACTTCCTGAAGTGCAGGGAGGGAGTGTGGACAGTGGACAAGAGGAAAGGAGGGTTGCATGGGGCAGGAGCATAAAAGCGGGGGTGGGGGGTGGGGGGGTGGGGGGGTCGGCAGCGAGACAAACAGGCAAGTGTAAGTGCCAAGGAGCAGGGTTTTCGCATTTGGTCTTGGAAGAAGCTGGATGTTGGACGGTTTGGAGAAAACTCTCACGATGACCGTCCTTTAACAGAAAATGGGGACCGGCCTTCGAAATAGTTTCACAAATAATTTCCTCCCCATTTTATTGGACAAAATTGTAAGAAGAACAAAGTGTATCAGAAATGTAAAAGCACTCGTATTGCCCCAGACGTCTGACTCGCTGTTCTTTTGCTTTTGCTTTCAGCCACATACATTTTTTAAACCTGAAATTAATTTTTTTTTATTTTGCAGACTTGGCTTAACACGTTCCATGTCGCTATATAGCCTCTTCATACTTGCACTTTTTATCTTGTTCCATTGATTACTTAAGAGACTTTGAGCAACTTAGACTCTGTTTGCTCATTTCAAAAAAAAGGCTCATGACACCTGTCAGGAGATTATTATAGAACATCATAGTTAGAGGAAGCCAGGGCACAGGGCTGAGGAGGTGTCCAGTACATGGCGATGAGTTGCTACTATTCAACTTTGAGTTTAAACCTTCGATTCAGTTCTCTTGTGATTTGTTTGAGGTAGATCCTGCTTTTACAGTTGTGACCCTCAAACATTGCAACAAATTCTTCCACACATGTTATTTCCCCTTGATCTTACCCACACCCCTTTTAGGCCTCATTCCCATTTGCAGACAGAGAACAGAAAGGTCTGGGGACTTGCCTTGTGCCTCAGAGCTGGGACTCAGCTCTTCTGACCGCCCCCCACCCCCACCCCGTGTGTCCATGAAGCCAAGCAGCCGTCTGTACTCTGGAGTGGGCTCCTGTCTGATTGTTTCCCTTTAACTCTTTTATACAAATTACTTTATATAAAAAGTCTGTTTGTCATGTTAGAGAACTATATTGTCCCTGGGACACTGCGTGGCTCAGTTGGTTAAGGGTCTGACTCTTGATTTTGGCTCAAAGTCAAGTTAGGCTTGACTTTTTTGGCTCAAGTCAGCTCAGGACCCTTGATGTCAGGGTCCTGAGATGAGTCCCACACCAGGCCCTATGCTGGGTGTGGAGTCTGTTTAAGATTCTCTCCCTCCCTCTCCTATGCTCCTCCCCCGACCCTGGCACCCCTGTGTGCACATTCTGGTACTCTTTCTCTCTGTTTCTAAAAAAAAGAAAGAAACCCATATTGTCTCAATTACAAGTCTGCGTGGGCTTCTCCACCTTCATCTTAGATCACTCTCGTCCTGCTCATGGCACTGCAGACACCCTGGCCTCAGGTTTCTTGAGGACAAGCACATTCCATTCTCAGGGCTCTGGTGGGTGTGCTGTTCCCTCCCCATGGGATGCTCTTCCCTCGGTGAGGGTGAGTCTCATTCACTCACGCCACTGCGGGCTCTGCTCCAGGGTCACCGTCCCCAGGCTCCCCTGAGCATCCATCTACAGCCTATCCCTCTCTCTAAAGGCACTCTCCTTGCTTAAAACCAAAGTGAGAAAGTAACTCTGAAATATGTTGGAGGAATATAAAGCTTGAACTACACACAGGAACACACTTTCTGATTAAGAAAATACACAAAAGGAGAAAAGAAATGAGTAACACAGAATCTATTATCTAAATATCAGTTCTAATGAGACAAAAAGATTCTAAAAGTCCTAACTTTACCTTTTGAATAAAGATATAAAAAATGAACTAAACGTCTTCAAATTTTGCATTGTCAATAGCAGAAGCTTTTTTTGGTAATGAATAAATCTGATCAGAAAGCTAAATTAATTAATCGATAAGGTGTTCTCCATCCCACTATTCTGCTTTAGCTTCACAGCACTTCACAAAGCGACATCATGTTATTTCCTTCCTTTTTGTTACCTGCCTTAGCCACTAAAGTCTAAGCTCCTCCTAGACACAGAATCTTCTCACTGCTGTACCTCACCATCTAGTTCTGTCCACGCAGAAGGTGATCGAATAAATTTGAATGGCTGTGTTGAGCGAATGAAAGGGGCATTGCTGGGAGAGGTGATCCATGGGCCCTGAGCGCCTGCACGTTCCCGCAGGGCAGGCCAAGGATCCAGGGTCTTGACTGCTCGCTACTCAGGCCACTTGTCAGAGTTGTGTTTGCAGCAAGCGGCTTTTGGGGTGAGGTGTGCTCCCCTGCTGGGCAAAGGGCAAGCTTGCTTCTGCTCCCATAGGAGTGGGGGACCCCCCAAGCTCCCCTAACACCTGTCCAGGTGTCCATCACCGGCCCTTTGGTAACCCCTGTGGGACCTGGGAAATGTGGGGAGCCGGCACGAATGAGCTCAGGCTACTGCTTCTGCCCAGAGGAATAAAGTCCTTAGTCTCTGACCCACTGTCTCGTTTCTTCTGACAGCAGCTTTGAACACGCACCAAGGAGCTTGTTGCTGGTGAGAACCACCACATCCCCGGCCCCGCACTGTGCCTACGAGGCATTTTGATGGCTCATTTTTAAATTACAATTAGAATTCTTTTGCCCCTTTGGGGTGCCCCCTTTCGGTGCATTTTCTCCCAAATTTAATAACCGAGCTGAAACAAAGGAACAGTATGAATGTTCTTTTTACATATTTCCAAATTGTACCTCAGAGAGATTTAATAGATTTATTGTTCTCTTGGCTCCGGCTTTGGAGAAACGAGAGAGGGAGATTGACAACTTTGCCAAAATCAATGTTTTTTCATTAGAAGAAAAATGTTTAATTGGTGTCTTATGATATGTTTTTTTTATATGTTTTGTTTTAATTTGCATTTCTTCAATGGCTAAAAATCCTGCATTTTTCCACATGGTGATTTATCATATATATCCTTGTGTAGAGCTGTTCATCTCATTTTAACTATTTTATACAGGAACCTGGGTACTGAACTTAAGAATATCGAGAATATTGATCAATTGCAATGTAATTAGGGAGCAGGTTTTTTTTTCTTTTTAAAGATTTTATTTCTTTATTCATGAGAGACATAGAGAGAGGCAGAGACACTGGCAGAGTCTCCCTGCGGGGAGCCTGATGCAAGACTCGATCCCAGGACCCCGGGACCATGACCTGAGCAGAAGGCAGACACTCAACCACTGAGCCACCCAAGTGCCCCTAGGGAGCAGGTTTTCTTTCTTTTTTTTTTAATTAAAAAAATTTTATTGGAGTTCAGTTTGCCAACATATAGCATAACACCCGGTGCTCATCCCAAGTGCCCCTCTCAGTGCCTGTCATCCAGTCACCCCATCCCTCCACCCACCTCCCTTTCCACTACCCCTTGTTCATTTCCCAGAGTTAGGAGTCTCTCATGTTCTGTCACCCTCACTGATATTTCCCACTCATTTTCTCTCCTTTCCCCTTTATTCTC